AAAAGTGATGACGTTAGGATACGCTTTTCGTTGTCTTGATATGTGTATTCTTGTAGTGTTGTGGTCAAGTCCATCAGTCCATCATTTTGCTGAGCTGTGATCAGACTTGTAAAAAGTACTTGTGATTTACTTTTGCCCGGACTTTTGATGGACTTGCGATGACGCGACTACCGTCTTGTTGGTGTATCCGTAAATCATGAGTTTGTACGTTAAAGATTTGAACTTAAATATCGTTAGGCTGGTTGCAACATACAAGAGTTATTTTTAAGCTTTCAATGTTATGCACCAATGACTTTTCTTTAGTCATCGAAGACTTGGCGTGACCGATTTCAAAAACAAAGGCTGAAAAGATCTTCCCAAGAGGAACCAAAATCCATGATGCAACCACACCGACACTGTTCAAGTTCATGACCTCGTAACATACTAACCCATTATTACATTTATTACACCCATTACATGTCGGACAATTTGGTATTTTAGGGCGATTAAGTTACCAATGGTAAACCCATTGGTTGCGGCCCGTTTCTCAAGCGAATCAAAGACGTTAGCCCGGGCAGTGCGCACCCAGCCAATGGCGGACATTTTCTGTTCGTCTTGATTGCATTAACTCCTGGGAAGCCAGAGAAGGAAAAAAACCTCATGCTCCAGAAAGTCCTCAACTTTTACCACCTCATTTCACGGCGGCTAATAAACCATATCTCATGAAAACTGCAGGGATGCTAGGAAGTGAAGGGTGTCCGCTAAAGTATTTCTGAACACATCTGCGTGGTAGAAGTTATAACTCAGTGTTCAGTTTCAGGTCAGGACTAGGCACATTCAGTGCGTCACACGCTGGCTATTTTATTCAGTCAAATAATATTTTCCTTTCCTTTTCAAGAAGGCAGTAAGCATATGCATCATGTCTGAATCGAACACCTTTACATGTTGCTTGGCAGAATGTCATAACATTAACTAATAAGTATTACGCAATCTTTAAGGCCATGACATGAATTTTACTTGGGAACATATTTTTTTGTGCAAATTTCTACTCCTCGTCAAATGTATGGAAACTATTTGCCATCCCCTTTTTGTTAATTTTATTGAAAAGTGCACTTCTGTAAACATTTAAAACTTCCCAGGCTTTTCATGACGATGAGGGTGCTGTTGTTGTTATGTCATTTCAGGAAGACGCTGTTCAGTTTAGGGGATTTTCTGTTCAAATTGTGAACTCAAATTTTGCTCGTTGAAAACATTTGTGGAGAAAATTTTGCTCATTGGCTTGCTGTCATGCACTGACACAACAACGAATCACCAAAGAAAAGAAAATTTACGACAACAAAATATACAAAATTCTGGCAATTTTTTTGGGTGCTGAAATAGCTTTAACATTGAGGTTTCTGCCCGAAATGTCATCACACTTTTATACATGAATATGCAAAATCTCATTAGCATAAAAATAGAAATGGCAAAATAAAATTTGAAATACGGTTGAATTTGACACAAAGGTGCTTTTACAAAGACTGCATTTAAAAAAAGAATACATTACTGGGGCCCTTGAAAAGGCCATGAAATGTAATGTAAGGTTCACGCATGTGATCTGTAGGTATGGGGACCATTAGCATACCCAGCACGATTTCAGACGAAGGGGTACCCCCCCCCATCTCGCTATACCCTATGCAAACCCTAGACTATTGTTACCTAACACATCCCCCCCCCCCTAGATATCTCAAAAGAATTCCTGAGATTCTGGTAACACCAGGGGCGGATTCAGGAATGTTCGCAGTTGGGGGGGGGGGGTTCATCAGCAAAACAATTTGAAATGTAGACAGGTTTTTTTGCTCCGGATACTTGGCCTCCAAAAATCAATAGGTGGTGGTGGTGGGGGGGGGGGGGGGGGGGGGGGGGGGGGGGGCGGTTCATACTTTCAATCGGGGCGCTGTTCAAATCCGACGATTATTGACACTATAATACAGAATAGTGTAAAAATACCCCCTAACCAAGCTGGCTCTGTCCGTATTTTGTGCACAGGCGGACATTATTACCAGTATAATTTTTTTTGGTGTCAGAGCAGGGGGGGGGGGGGGTGGATTATTTTTAAGGAATTGCTATGATTTTTTTTTTGACAGAGTTGCTTCCCCCCGATCCGCGCCTGAACACAATGACCAATACAAAAGAGAGGGGGGGGGGGGTTCTCTCCGTCCCATTATCGTGCTACAAATTTTATTTTACCAGATTCATATTATATACATGTACACCTTAACCTGTTTACTGTGTAATATACATTGCCCATAGTGTGCCAGATGGCCCAGATGAAATAACCATACAAAATGGTGAATTAAAAATCAAGTTTTTTTGCAAGCCGCATGTATCCCGTTTAACTGGTACTATTGTTAATGGTCTCTAATGGTACGTGCAACTTACATAAGTGCACTTTTAACAATAAAAATTGTCAACAAATTTGACAAACTATTTTGATCCATAATCACCAGTAAATTCATACCACATCATGAATTCAGCCGACTCACATGAAAAAAAAAAGCACGACGAGCCAGGCCTTAGGTTTAATGTTTCATGAATGTGACAATATCTGCATTTTGCAAAAGGCGTTTCTATGGAAACAAAGTGCAAGCAGGAAAAGCGAGGATTCAGGTGAAACAAAAGCGTTGTTCGCTCCGATTACACCTTTTCCCGTCAACAACGGTGCGTGTTGAAGATTAGGTTGAGAGCAACAAAATATGTCATTAGTTTACACGCACATGTATATCGGTATTATCAGCACTTAGCGACCATCTGGTCCTGTGCAGCAGCGTATGGGTATAGGCATCCCATTACAGCAACAAAAAGATCGCAATATATGAGACAAGACACACAGGAACTACGAGTCTGGGACAATTTCCTCCGGATTTCAAGCCCGTTTCCTTTGCCCGTCTTTTCCCCATTTTCTTAATGCAGAATTGATTAAAATCGCCGGGGTCGGGAAATTCACGTTTATTAAAGGGAGAGCATGAAGCTTGTGTTTCGCGCTGCACTGCGGACACAATGATGTATTGTTCTGTCTCTGCCAACACACAGTCATTAGGGACATGCACTGCGCGCAACTTAAGGTACCATGGGGATATTATGGAAAAGATGACTCTATGGGAAGATGCACAACGAGCAATACAACAAGGGCAGGCCAGCTGAGCCCATTTTGATGGAGCCCCTAGACAGGAAAACAAGGTCACAGAGGAAATTTATTTGCTAAGCAAAGAACATCTGAGAACCACTCATAATCAATGTACACATTAAAACCATCAATTTCATAGCAGGTGTATTGAGCCTTAACACAAACAGCGCCATGCAGATCAAGTAGACAGGGGAAAAGCCATCAGCTGCAGTCTCTATTAATTAATAATGTTTCTAGCTGTTAAGGCCCAGATATGCCTTGTTTAAAAAAAAAATAAAAATAAAAAATAAAACAGTGCTCACTGGATGTAAAAGCCGAGCTTTCGGTGCGATGCGCCTTCATCAGGGCAGTTATTATGCACCACTGGTGGAACTAACGCGGTAAACTCCACGTTCATCCTGACGTCACGGGACGGATATATCGCTATACGCAAAGTCAATTGTCGACTTACACCCTCTTTTGCGGATTTTTTGTTTTATCATGTATGATTTGATTGAAAGAGGATAAATTGCTAAACATAATTTTATATATATCGTTTCAAAGCAGGATTAGGCGCAAAAACGAGGCTTTCATCAGAGACTGGCTTTCTAAACTACTTTTTATTGGTAACGATTCCGATAACTAAGTGTATGCGTAAGTTTACACGATGCGAAAAACGGAATGGTCGAGAATGGTTACGGATGTGTTCACGTGTCCGCTTGGACGAAAAAACCTCTCCACGCCACCAATCGCCTTGGTAAAAAGATATATCCCCTCTGCACTTTCCCGTTTCATTTTTACGAGGGAAATAGAAGGGGACGGTTTGGAATTCTGAAGGCTCAGACCAGCCTCCATGTCGCTACAGGGACTGAACAATGTCGTTTTCAAAGCGAAGACATTTGCCTCAAGAGGTATAAAAATATACTCAATGCCCAAGGCTCAACTGCCCATGATGCATAGAGTAAAATGAGAAAAGAAGTTGTTTCCTCCGAGAGAAGAGCGACAGAAACGAAAACAAACATCACTAGCTGACAGTATACTAAATATATCCTCAAGCACAGTCGTGTAAGCCTTGGGGCAATATTGATAATCTCCCTCAGGACGTATATTCTTAAGTGCTGGATACACACCGTGCTTAGTGCACGTTGCTCGTTGCAAATACACCGTCATCATATTTTAAAAGAGCCCTGTGTTGTTCTTACCACAGCGGGCACTCAATAATAATCAATATTCACGCCAACATGGCGTCTAATTAGTGTGGATTGATAGGACTAACAGTGGCACATTGCACGTTTATTATGAACCCAGCGAAAAACTCAATTAATGTCGAGGTCGTTAGACTCGCGCTGCATTGATCTAGCGGGATTAATGGTGAACGCTTGAAAACAAAATATCACACGCGGCTCGTTTGGTCGTGAAAAGTCTGGTACCTTTAAACCTTATGCGACAGCCAGAAATGATCCAGTCTAGCCATATTTTGAGCATCGTTCCTAGGAGATGTTAAAATTGTGAATTTCAATGCATCGTTAATAATTGAAACCGTTATAAGTGGATTGTACATCACCCTCTTCAACGATAAAATCATTATGATATGAGATTTTAATATTTCACAGGCATGGCGCTATATGTGGAATTTTGATACGAGGAAAGTAGCAGACGCAGACATTTTACGTATCGAAATAGACTCGACCGATGCTTGGCACGACGGGGTTTATCTAATAAGAAATTAAAGCCAAAATTGTCGTAGAAACGTGTGTTCACACTGTTTTATGTCCTCTTCTTGCATTAGAAATTATCATAAGCTGCTTGCTACAAGCTTGTCGTGTGCCGGTTATCATGTGTGCACATCATTCAACCTAGCATAATGTGTGCTTGGCAACCAAAACATGATGCAATCGCCGCATCACTGAATTATTCGCACTCATCGAACGGCCGTCGAACGCAGGTAAAACGTCGTAAAGTCGACGTGTAGGTGATGCTGAAGTACATTGGTTTCTCAGCATGCAACCGTAGTGCGCGCTGTAGTGGTTTTACCTGGCATTTTCATAATCGATCTCCAAGGCATTTAGTGGATGAGGGGGAAAAGTGTAGTCGCTTTGAGCCACTATGTTCAAAAGATGCATTCATGTTGCAAGCCAGGCGGTACTGCTATACTGTTCAGGCACTGCGAGGGGAGCTTTTGGCGTTATGGAGAGGGGATCTGACTATTAAACGGTGGGCAGGTCGGTGGGTGATGGTTGAGCACTATGTGGGGTTATGCAACACTGCTCGCGCGTTGTCAGTGTAGCGCGCGTGGCCGCCCGTGCCTGACGGAATGAGGAGACAGTGCCGTGGCATCGACTGACGCGCTACTGCGACATGGTATACGAGCCAGGCTGTTGGCCTTAATTCTCCCGGTGTGTGATGTTCAAACATGAACCTTCCCTTATGCTGCCGTCCCCGTCGTGGTATAATAACCGTTAGTTGGACGGCCTGCCATAGTCTAATTCCCCTGACCTCGCCTTGACATTGTTATCCGGTGATCCTTTTTACAGAAGAAGATGAGCCTTCAAGTTCGGCTGGCTGACGATGGATGGTTTGGAGTTTACTTTGTCAAGATCGGGAGGATGTTTACACCGTGGCCGTGAGTTTACTCTCGTGAGGATTGCCTAAAATGTTTACAGCGAGTCGCTTCATTCGATAAGACCGTTTCAATGTAACAGGAAACGTATAAATCTCGAGTTTGTTGCGCCTAGGAGACCAAACCTGTGCCTTTTATACTTTGTACGACTACCCACCTGGTCACAGAAATCGGCTGGTCGTTTCTCGAGCCCGGTTAAACCACTTTTCTTGTGCAACTTCAAGTAAGTTTTGTGAGTTGTGGTGGAGCTCGTTGCCGTGGTTCAAAGAAAGTGGCGTCGACAAACTCCAATCACGTTTCTTCACCGCCCCCCTCAGGCGGCCCGCCGACGCAGCCGCAGCCGAGGCGGCCGCTGAGGAAACGGTTGAAGCCCCCGGCCTTAACCATGGTCATCCTGCGCTGCTTCCGCCTCATCTGCATCAGTGGGGTCGTGGTCAGCGCTATCTCCTTCGTCCTGGGCACCCTGGCCATATCCACCGGCTCCTGGCTGCTGGCCCAGGGGAAGGTGCCCCCCATGCAGTTCCCGGACAACCCGGTGCCGTCAGACCCGGTCATCACCACTCCGGGAAACTTATCCGATGTCGGCACGAACAGCACGGACAACGCAACCACCACACCCACCGTCGCCACCAGTGCTTCAATGACAGAACTGACCGCGACGACGGGCCAACCCACGGCCGAGGCAGCGACGCGATCGACGGGGACGACGCCTCAGACGGATGCCGGTGAAAATGCAACCACCGCGAATCCGGAACTTGAAATGAACACAGTATTAGCAACCAGTGGCCTTTGGCATATATGTCAAGCAAACCTAGAGAACGGGGTCGTCGTAGGTGGTAAGTAAACTTCACACACTTTTTAATGGACGCATTAATAATGATACAATGTATTTTAGTACAACTATCACTTTTTCAGTTTTGTGGGGTTTTTTTCATGAAATAATGGTCTGTTTGGTAACTAAGGTGCATTCATCTTCCTGTATATCTCCACATAATTATATAAGTTCCATTCCCATATCTCGTGTTATCTTAACTTGTGCTTGAATTTTTTGAGCATTTTACCTTTTTTTTAAATCGCGATTTTCACCTTTCGTTTTTGTAGTCAAAGTATATCAGATGAGATAACCTTATCATATCAAGAACGTTGTCTCTCCGTGGATTGCGACACAATAGGTCAAACAGGTCTCCGGCATGCCACAGGGCTGTTTTACTAAATGCGTAAAACTGCTGAAGTTTCTATCGCCGGGCTACACAAAATGATATTAAAAACTACACATAACACCATGCATAGGCCTGTCTAAAAAGTTATAATTCAGTTACACATATTAGCAGATAACAATACCAAGTCAATTGACTGTTTTGTAGTCGAGCACAGTTTCTTAGAGTGAAGGGCGATCCTTACCCGGGTAAGCCTTTTCGCTGGTCCCATAGCCTATATAATGTCGTCTTTGCACCTGACTCACTGGCTGACTCACTCGCTCTCTCTTGTGAATTAGACTTGTTTAAGTCTCATGTTGTTTTCCCAGAAGTTTGAAATTGCATTGCACCGTAACGCCAACGAAAGGGCAAAATCCAGCCCGATTTGAAGTGGTACCGTTCACTCTAACCACGTTACCGGTATGTGTCCGCGAGTCGGCTGTAGATTTTCGATTTTATCCCCGGGTAGATCGCCTCTCTATCCTGGTCCCACACCAGTGGCGTAAATCTGTGCCGGCGAGTGGGGGGTGGAGGATGACCAAAATCAAAAAATTGCCCGGCCCGAAAGCTGTGTGCGTGAGCTTGTCTTACATACGCAGTGTGGACTTCCGAACAAAAGACGTCCACATAATGTAGGTAGCAGCGACGAAGTGTGGACTTGCCCACGTCCACACAGTGTTTCCCCATTTCTGGAAAACAGGTTTAGAGGCATTTTTGGGTTAGGTTTATCTGTAGCAGAATGAAGAGAAACACTAAAGGGAATCATTGAAAAAAAATTGGGTTGTAAGAGTTTTCACAGTTTGAGAAAAATGAGTTTTTCCACTGGTGTTCCTTAACTACACGAAAAGAAAGGAAAGTCCACACTAGGTATGTGAAACAAGTCTGTGTGTGTGTGTGTGTGGGGGGGGGGGGGGGGGGGCTGGACACCTCATTACACTAGGGAGCTCTTTAGTATATAGATGTATATCAACATGTATACTCGCGCTTACATCAAAGCAGCGGATTTTAAAAGCTTTTGACCTTCGTTTCTCCACTTTTCAGTGCTATTGAATGCATTTTGGTTGTTCGAGAAATACCTCAAAATCCGCATTTTTTTCTCTCATCACGAAAAAGTGGGGGGATTATTCAATAGCCCATCCCCTCCTGGTGTAAATGTGTGTCTGGGTGTGTGTGTGTGTGTGGGGGGGGGGGGATATATACCCCCATCCCCCTCCCCCCGGATTTACGCACCTGTCCCATACAACCAGGTTTGGATTTTACCCTGCATGTAGAGCGCCTGCGCCGGGCGTGTAGAAGCCGTGTTGGATTACTATAGTGTGAAAGGCGTTTCTGAAATATCTGTGTTGGATCGACCCTGGTCCCACACGGAGATTGTAGACAGTGTGAAAGGCCCTGATATGAACTGCATTATTTACCAGCATGAGCTTGGAACATGATTCCCCCTACGGGAAAACCGTACATGCGTTTGAGCATGCAACGAAGAAGAATCGTTTTTGTGTGTTTCCCGTGAAAAGAATCTCAAAAATCGATTCTCCTACCCCATAACGAAAGCCCTTTTTACACGGTACACTGCAGACAGCGATGAAAGCAAGAAACGAACTTGAACCTCAAAAATGTTGCCGTGCAACGCCAGTGGAAACCATTCAAGTCTTATTCAATTAAAAACACAACGGACGTTCGTTAACTGAGAATAACAACATTTTTAGTTCGCCGGAGAATAACAACAAAAATGCTTGTCGAGGGTAGAGTGCCTATACGTGGCATTGTATCTTCCCTAGACGTCATTGATAATTTTTTCTCTCAATTTTTTGTTCAAGTTGTTTTAGATATAGACCTTAACATTTTCTGTAGCGTTTGTTTCTCTATTTACGTCAACCGTCGGTCGGATTTTTTTCTATCTTACAATACTTTCTTTCTACCGTTCCACTGTAAAACGATTATGAGACATTTGAGTTTACGAATAAGACATGCTGAAAGAACTGCAAATATTAGTTTCTCAAAATTGCAAATTTCATCCAAGGCACTGGAGATGTAATTTTGTTTTGCGAAAGGTAAATAATTGATAAATGATTTTTTTCATGTTTAACATTGCATTTGCATTGTCCATTTTCAATATGGGGGAGTTTAACTTGGTAGGTACAAAATCCACGCCCGTATCACGTATCGTGATCGATTTTACGTGTGACGTCACCAGTTTGTGCGTTGCTCTCGTACTTGATACGGGAAAGTGATACGGAAATTACGTGTGATTATCAGCCACCTGATACGCACGCATATAGTTAGTCTGTGAATTTACTCCAACTTTAGTCCAAAAATGATAATTTGATCATTCCCATATTCTTTGATATCTCAGACAGCACGTAACCTTTATGGAACGTTTATATTGTGATGTTTTTACATTTTTAGTAACAACATTAGTGACCGGCCATTCATGCATATTGCATGAACACGCTATACGTGTACAGGATCACGTGTGGGTAGAGCGTACTGAGACGCGAGCCAAAACCGAAACCTAAAGCTCAATACATTTATTACGCATGCAATATGCGTATCAGGTGTAACTCATACTAGTACGCGACGTTATTCTCCGGCTATCGAAAGTAGGCCTTTCTGGTGTTTTATCATAGCTTCATTTACAGTAAATTGTATAACTGCCCGAACCATCTCACAACGAGTCCGGCCTGCCACGAATTGAGCTGTTTGTCCCTTAAAATGAACGGCGGCTTCCCTTAGTGTCGCAATGTAAAAATTTCCTCTATCTAATCAAGTGAAATCAGAGAGCTGTTTGCAGACATCTTCACAATGGGTCCAGAACATCGAAGCTTATTGTGAACATTATACCTATATCGCAGCGATACATTGCGGTCAAAATACCATGTACTGCCGTACCATAATGTCACATTTAAGTCTAATGGTAGGGCCCATCCACCTCACAATGGTTTTCCAGTGTCGCTTTTAATATCTGCTAAAATTATACTCAGATAATGTCTATAGTCATATACCAATATAGCTTGGCACTTACCATTATAATGGTATACATAGGCTTGTCATTGTAAACCCATCATGATGAAGTCTTACCCTATAGTGGTGCAGAACGGTTTGTGTGCATTGTACCAATTGCTGCGTTGGATGAGTGCGCATGCATCTGTTCTGTAAATTATTCAGCGCGCAACGAAGTCACAAAAGTCGTAAAAGTATATATTCTCTTCACTTCATGCAGGCCCCGCGGAAATTCATGCTCAAATAATTCTGGAGTGGTTGATGTAAATCTATCGACACTAGTGAACCCTCGATCGTTCTTGATGCTGTACATATTTTCGAAGGGTCCTTATTTTTTAAAGAAAGTATATATGATGGCAATCATGATTTTGAGGCTGTGGACGGTTGTTCAAAACTGGGAGATGTCTACGGATACTAAGTGTAAACAGAAGTGTACGGAGGCTTACGAAAAATTGCGGGAACTTTAATTTTGTATGGATTTAATATATTTGGTGTAAACCCATCATCAAGTCTTACAATGCACATGCAAATTGTGCAAAGTTACGAAAACAAAATCATAACTAACAGGTTGAAGTAAGGCCTCCGTACAAGGACGCAAATACCGTAATAGTCTGGTTCCATGTCCTCATTGTCATTCGGAATTCAAATATTGGGACAGGTAGCTACCAGTGAACCTGACTACATCAGGAGGCATTCCTCTTGATGTATGAAACTTATATGCATGACGTGCATAGGTCTGAATCCCGCCTCGTGAATTCAAAATCACAACGGTAATGGTTGCGCGCAACCAGCCTGCACAAAATGTGCAATTTCTGAGGTGATGAGCTTCGATTTTTGCTGAATTCAAAAGTGTCTCTGACAATATCAATAGAGGGAAATTACTGTTCAGTATTTAAAACCAATGCAGTTGAAATGCCTGAAAGTGGCCCTCATGGAGACACTAACGATTTTGAGTACTTTTTGTGGAAAGCAAGAGTGAGTTTTTTGATAATCGTGTGTTCAATCACCGCCCATGCACAAAGCTCAGCAGCGATTCAAAAATAAACAACCATGATGCGATCCAATCAATGGCTTTAAATGGGAGCTAGCTATACCGGTCCCCATATATTTTTGAGGGGGCCGGGGACCAGTCTAGCACCGTAACTGGCCAACCTCGTCCCAAGGGCTTACTTTATTTTCAACCTCAGTCGTTTCCAATAGTAAGCCCTGGGATGGGAACTTGCTTTCTGTATCCTGATTCGATAGCGCAATCAGCAGATAATGATTTATATCGTGTACTTGGTGTTTTTATTTCCAACGTGCATTACGTGTTTTCACGTTCATTGCTTTATTAAAATTATTATTTAATACGTCCACACCTTCTCAAAAATAATCCTTTCCTTCAGTAATTCACTCATATTAATATCAAATGCGATAATGCATAATTGGCTGGATAAGATTGTAACATTTTAAACTTTGAACAGAAAATTCGCCGCGACGAATAGATTCTGTTTTTACTCCCAGACACCACATACAAAAACGAACACTGATGTAAAGCACAGGCAGACACCAGACTATTCCTCATTTACATACGTATCAAAAAAAATGGATATGCAAATGACCCAATACCAGGGTGAGAGAGCAGGTGGTGGGAGCGTACT